GGTACTTACCTGTGGCCGTGACATTGAGGGGTTGCAGCGGGGAAAAGCACTCAAGTAGCGGGTAGGCCGGTACCGCACCTGGAAGGGGTAGATGTGCAGGTACCGGAGGCCGAGCAGAAGAAGACAAAAGTGGCATTTTTAGAGGCCTAGTAGTGTAGGCTAGGTCCAGGCGGATACCAGTCTGAGTCTAGGGCCTGTACGGGCAATATCAGAGTCTGCAATGATGTTTCCCTCCAAAAAAGGAGGAGGTACCGGTTGCTTGGGAGGCCAAGCGGCCTGGCAGTCACCGCCCAAGAGGCAAAGCAGGCCGCTATATCTTCGGGCCGGGCGGAGAGTCCGGCCTCTTTTTCGGTGTGCAAGTTTGGTGACACACTGGTGGAGCGCTGGCTGGAGCAGCGCTATGCTGGAGCAGCGCTGCTGGGGAGGAAGGAGAAGGACACGAGGGAGGAAGAAGGAAGGAAGGGGAGGAGCGCCAGGGGTACTTACCTGGCTATGGTGGCAGCCATCTTCATCACCTTGGTGGGCGCTGCAGCAGGGAGTCCCCAACCGGGGAGAGCCACACCAAGAAGCTTCGAGGCAGGGTCCGGCATGGCGGCCTGAGCTAGGGCAGCCATCGCTGCTTTGGGTTGTCCTTTGGGCATCTGGGCAACGCCTAGTAGTCCGCCATAGCCTCGGCCTATGAGGGTGAAGGAAGGGAGAGGCGGCCATGGCTATGGTGGACCTCAAGTGGTACCTGCAGTAGAAGAGGAACTCGGACATTGATTCTGGATCAGCCACTCAACATTGTATTATTATTTCTTGTATGAATAAGAGAAGGGGGAGATAAGGAGGAGGAGGTTATTGGTCGAAGAAGAAGAGCCTTGTCACTTGTCTTTGCTGGTGTACATCATCTACTTCTTCTTTCTTACTTCTTCTTCTTCTTCTAATCCTCTCTCTCCTCTCAAGTTCATTCATTCCTTTCTGCAATTGGGCGGCATTGTGCTTTCTGATGGATGTGTATCTCGAAATTGGCCAGGATCATAACATTGGTATCAGAGCGGATTCTACTTGCTGATGAGAGTTGAATTTGCTGTCCTAACCCTAACCTAAGTGGTTGAGGGCAACACTTAGGCTTAGGGTTGGTTTGTGAAGGGAAGAGGGGCAGCGTGGTTGAGGGAAGCTGCCCCCACCTGGTTAGGTCATGTGGGGTCGACATAGAACCTAACCAGGTTGTTTGAGAGTAAGCTTGGGGTGG